GGCATTGCTATGAGTGGGAACCAACTCATTGATACTTAACAATAACAATGCTGAGCAAATAATCTGAGAAACCGTGTTTTACGAAGAAGAACGAGGCATCAGGTTGGAGGAAGACTCATTAACAACCTGCAGTATGCAGGTGATATAAGCTTGCTTGCTGGAAGAGAGGAGGACTGCTGCTGAAGATCAAAGGCCACAGCCTTTAGTATGGATCGCAACTCAGTGTGTACAGAATATACAAATCCTCACAATAACTAACATCATGCAAATTGGAGAAAAGATTAAAGCTGTCAAAGACTTCATTCTACTTGGATCCACAGCACTCATAGGAGCATCAGTCAATAAATCAAAGACATATTTATTGTATTCAGCAAATCTGCTGCAAAAGACCTTTTAAAAATATGCAGGAGCGAAAATAGGAGTTTGTGGTTAACAGTCCAGTGCTTATCCTAACAGAAGCCATGGTGTTTTCAATCTCCATAAGTGTGTATGAAAATTGGACAATGCAAAAGGAAGACAGTAGTGGCATTGATGCATTAGAATGTTGTATTGGAGAAGAATTTTTAAAGTACCATAGCATGCTAGAAGAACCAACAAATCTATGCTGGGTAGTCAGAATGCTCTTTAAGGGAGAGGATGTGTTACCATAAAGCACTAATTCCTGGTAAAGTAGAGGGTCAGAGAAAAAGTGGTTAGACTCCCAAGGAGATGGGAGCTGGGCTGTTGGCACACTGGTAGCAGCAGTGGCCTGAAAGGTAGCAGCAGTTGTGAAGTTGGCGCAGGACTGGGCAGTTTTTCCTTCTATTGTGCATAGGGTCACTGTGAGTCAGGACCCACTCAAGGGCACCTAACAACAACAGGAAATATAAATGATCGCCCTTCCTTCCTTCAACTCCATATAGAATTTGTGTGTAGCATCTTCCGCTTCCACACATGCAGAATCAACATTCATTCCTATAATTTGTCAGCACTGTGTAATTTTTGTATGTGCTGGTACATGTGTATATGTCCGACTGTTTATAAACATGTGCGTGCAGTCATTTAAAGTTGAAACAGCAAGATACTTCTTGGCCCCTAAATACTTCAATACTTAAGTATACATCTCTGCAAAATGACATTTATATATATTGCAGTTGTGGAAATTTTTTAATTCTCTAATAGCGTAGTGATTACGAATCAGGCTGTGAACTGCAAGGTCAGCAGTTCGAAACTACCAGCTGTTTCGCAGGAGAAAGAGGCAGCTTTCTGCTCCCTTAAAGATTTACAGCCTCGGAAACCCTGTACAGGGTCGCTATGAGTCGGAACCAACTCCGTGGCACATAACAACAACAGCAATAGCCCCTAATATGTAGTTTGATTTGAAAAAGTCCCAAATATTCCCAATGTTATTTTAAAGCCGTTTTTTAAAATTTTAAATAAGGATCCCTTCTCAAGTCCATGCACTGCCATTAACTTGTTATATCTTGTTAGTCTTTTTACGTTGACTAGCCTTCCCTCCCTTTTTTGTCTGACATTGAAGTTTTTCTTTACTAGATTAAGCCGCTTTTTTCGTAGAGCATCACACTCAGAATTCGTGTAATTGTTAACTGCTTCCTACATACTGAAAGGATTGATGGGATGTAAGCGACACATGGAGTCTTAGTGTGGAGCTAGCGCTGAACTGCACACTGCTCAAACCTTGGAAACCCTATAAAGGGTTGTTGAGAGTTGCAATCGACTCTACAGCACTTAACAACAACAGCAACAAAGTGAAACACGTTTATCATGGATGCTTTATATAATATTGTTTCCATGAATTTGGCTTTAAAGGAGTTTCCATGCCTGAGCACTTGTTGATTAGGAACTGTTTCTTGGATTAAAGATTAGTAACAGGCTCAGCAGTTCGAAACTACCAGCCGTTCCACGGGAGAAAGAAGAGGCTTTCTGCTCCCATAAAGATTTACAGCCTTGGAAACCCTATGCATGGTCGCTATGAGTAGGAACCGACTCGACGGCACATCACAACAACAACAACACAGTTGGAGAAGAAATAGCCTGATTCCCAGAGCCTGAACATAGGGAGGAGATAGTCCTCAAATACTCCTAATTTTCCGTAGAGAGAGAAAGCTGCCAAGTGTACGGCTGAACCTCTTTCTATGTATGAAGTTGATCTCAATTTAGTACCCAGACCACTGGGGTTCATTGAGACGTCACTCAGTTGTCAGCGACTGTTACCCTTAAGGACTGTCACTTTGGAAATGAAGGCGTATTTGAAGTACGAATGAATTACCCATCACGTGCTAACACAGTATCAATAGAAAAGCTGCCTGTTAACTGAAAAAAATCAGTGCTTTTCCAGTATAAAAATGTATAAGAAATACATCTCACTTTGAAAATAATACATTATGCATTTTTAATGCTTATAGTCCAGAACTGTTTATACTTAACAAAATAAAACACAATTAAAAGTGAATGTAAGATTTCTAGTTAACTTATTTTCTGTGTAACAACTAATTAAGCAGAAAATTTTCTTTGAACTTAACTGGGGTCATTTTTCTTGCTTTTGTAAACAGCATTCAGTACACTTGAAGATGGCTTTTGGGGATGGGGATTGAGATAAAATTTATCTCAGTGTGCAGTAAAATGCTACATTTTGACAAGTCTATGTGGGTTGGAATCTATCGAATGGCACTGATAACAACAACAACCTATACTTATGTAACCACTGCCCTAGTCAAGATTTAGAGCCTTTTCATCATCTCTGACAGTCCCCTTAGGTCCACCTCAAATCATTCTGCTCCACCCCACCCTCAGTCTGCTTAATGTGCCCTGGTCGCAGCCCTGCACTGCCAGCAAATGGAGCAGACCTTATTCTCATTGCCTAAACTACACAGAGCGGGAAGTGATGTTACTGGTGTCTTCAGTGGAGTCTGAATAAATGATCCCAAGGAAGCAGCTGAGAGTTGTGTTCTACACTATTTTCCATAATGTGATCCCAGGACATTAAAATGGTAATAAAACAACAACAAATAACATCTGTAGTACTTACTAAGTTTCAGATGTGCTACCAAATCCTGTATTTAATATATGTAATCTTTGCAAAAGTACTAGCCAAGGAGTTAGGTTCTATCATTACATTTATTTTAAAGATGTAAAAATTGCAACATAGAAATTAAGTAGTTTGCCAAGGTCACAGAACTCATAAATGGCTGAGCTAGTATTTGAGTCCTGCCTTGTGGCACTGTAGGATAAACACTGGACTGCCAACTGCAGGGTGGGCAGTTCAAGCCCACTAGCCGCTCCTTGAAAACTTCTTACAGGGTCTCTATGAGTCAGAACCGACTTGATGGCACAACAAGATTCATGCGTCAGAACGTGTAGTGTATCTCATGGTACTGAGCTTTACAGATTGCCAGTTTGTGGCAGCCCTGCCTCGAAAAAGTCTGTCAGTACCAGTTAGTGTCTCTGGGTAACATTTTGGTCATTCTCACAATATTTCAAACTGTTTCATAGAGTATGTTGTTGTTAAAAATGCCATTGAGTCAGTTCCAATTCATAGTGACCCTGTATAGGCTTCTGAGGAGCAGCTGGTGGGTTTGAACTGCTGACCTTGCAGTTCAAAGCCCAGTGCTGATCCTACAGCTCCACACCAAGAGTCTATTCATTGGTCATGTTGTTGTTGTTGTTAAGTGCCATCGAGTCGGTTCCAACTCATAGTGACCCTGAATAGGGTTTTTGAGGAGCGGTTGGTGGGCTTAAACTGTCAACCTGTAGTCCAGTGCATTATTCTGCAGTGCCAGGACTCCATTCATTGGTTATAGGGGCAGAATAGACTTATGAGATGACCAGGGAACCTTATCACCATTTATAATGGATTTTACTGTAGAAACAATTAACAAACGTCAACAGTCAATCAACTTCAGAAAGTCAGTTATTGGGACATAACCATTTTTTTAAAGAATTAGTGATTACGTTGTCCAAAATAAAAATGGTGAAATAGATGTTGCTTCAAAGAAGATAAGTAGATGGCCAGCAAGCACATGAAACGATGCACAGCAATGCTAGTCATTAGGAAAATAGAAATCAAACCAAAATGAGATCCCATTTCACCTTCTGAATGATAGTTATAATCAAAAAGACAAATGCTGGCAAATGTGGAGAAACTGGACCCTTCGTGCACTGGTGGGAATATAAAATGGAACAGCCACTGTGGAAAAGAGTTTGGCAGTTTCTCAAAAAGTTAAACATTTTGTAGAGTTAATATATAACCCAGCAATTTCACTCGTAGGTAAATTTAACTAAGAGAAATGAAAACTTTCATCCACACACTTGTTGTTAAGTGCTGTTGAGTCAGTTCTGACTTACAGCGGCCCCGATAGGTTTTCATGGAGTGGCTGGTGAAATGGAACCGCTGGCATTGCGGTTGAAGCTAATCTCGCGGTCCAGTGCATTATCCCACAGTGCCACACATTCATACACTGGTTTGAACAAATTCTTGTACCCCTGTCTGTCTCTCCCCTTCTGTGTTGTTATGTTGTTGTGAAGTGCTATCAAGTTGGTGCCAACTCATAGTGACCCTGTATAGGGTTCCTAAGGAGTAGCTGGTGAGTTCTTTTCAATTAGAGAGCAAGTAGAAAGTGCTTGAAAGTCTGTGTGAAGTACTAAATAAGATATTACCATTACATTGTTTAGAATTTGAATATGTGCTTCCTGATAACCCTGAATTTTTACTTGTTTATTTTCCCAAGTAGATGATAAACACTTAAGATTGGGGAGCGGTTTGGTTTCTGGTTTATTAAATAGTGCCTCAGTCATGCTGAAGGTGTTCATTGAAGAATTATTTTTGATTGATTTGACTGGACTATTTAAAGCTGATGATTTAATATTAGATTATGCTATGGGGGTTTCTAATTGAATTATTATTTCCAGATAGGTTATCTTAAATTTTGTTTGAATATATTTTGTTTGAATGTATTTTCCTGGGCTATTAATATTAATACAATGCAACTCTTTCCTTCCAGCCTAGTGTGTTAATTATCACTTACAAGGAAGCTGCAAAATCATCTGCTCAGTTTGGACCCTACAAACAGGCTGAATGGCGGCCAGACAGTACCATGATCGCTGTGGCTGTAAGTAGAGTTTTCAGCGTTGACAGTATTTTCTTCTGAAATCATTGCATTTCATTTAAATTTGATTCCCTTAGATGGATTCCCTTCAGTATTCCACAACCATGAGCATCACCTTCTGGTGATAAGAATTGCTGTGCTGACTCTCCTGTATCATCTTTGTTGACGCTACTACTTTCTCTTCCTTAAATGTGTTACCTGTATGTTTATCCATTTATTGTTCTCGCTTTCCTGTTTTGTCCTGGCAGTTTAATAAGGTTTTTATGCATTTTTAGTCCTGGCCTCCAAGGATATTTCCCACAAAAATAATAGGCTTTATGTGCCCATCTAATAATAATTCTTATATCTATTTGGATCTGTTTTTGCATATCTTCTGTTCCACTAATTTTGCTCTTCAGTTTGTTTTGTCACTGTCATTTCTGGTGGTGTCACCATCGCCAAATGTGCAGTAACAGGTGTAAACGTGGCTGACAATTGTTGATCACCTCCTGTGTAGGTGTCCTTGTCAGCCAATTAGGCCAGTCCTCCTATTTAGTCTTAGGGCAGCACTTTGAGTTAGAGACCACTGTCCCTCATCATAGATGAGTACCTTGAGGATCTGAGAAATTAAATTGTATTCATCGTTGCACTCATTTAGTTAACATCATGAAGTAGAATCTACTAAAACATGTTTTAATCAGTGGTGGAAAAAGCATGGAGCAGAAAAGGCTTAGCTGGACACATTTACAAAGTCTTTGAATATGTAAGGTTTTTAAATTTTACTGTTATTCGTTATGTTATTTTATCAGCAGATACTTTGTGAGGAATATTTGAATTTATCATCTATCATTGAATAAGCAATGATAATAGTAAACTTCTGGCACTCTTGTGAATTTACCCATGAATTTACCCATCATCAGTACCTTAGGCTGGGTCCTCTAGCAAAACCAGTGAAGCTTATCTATGTATGGGGGTAATGGGCGGGTGAGGCCAAGTTTATTCCAACTCACAGAGACCTTGTAAGGGTTTCTGAGACTTCATGGAAACAGAAAACCTCACCTTTCTCCCACATATGTATGTGGTTGTTGTTGTCTTGTTGTTAAGTGCCATTGAGTGCATTCTGACTCATAGCAGGAGCAGAAAGTGTCTTTTTCTCCTGCAAAGAGGCTGGCAGACTTGAACCATGGACCTTGTGAATCACAATCCACTGCTTATCGTATGGAGCTCCTGTGTGTGTGTGTGTGTGTGTGTGTAACTAGAGAGCTCAAGGAAATGGCTCAGTCAGTTGCAGAGGTTTTGCAGATCCTTATCCTATGTGATGAAGTCCCATGTCTGTGGGACAGATGTCAGGCTAGAGCCTTCTGACTCATTGTAGCTGTTAAGCTAACTAATCCCTAGATTAGCAAGCAGTATGGCAGGGTGGTTGCTTCAAGTCCAAAGAACCAGAAGTCAAGTGATGATGAGTCAGCTCCAGATGAAATAAAAAGCTCTGCCAGAACGAACATCCGTAGATACTGGTACTGGTCACATGCCTGAGGAGATTCCCTTTCAACTGGCAGGTCTCATCAGGAAAGTGACTGTCTTGTATCAGATCACAAAAGGAGAGATGACTTCTTCGTGACAACTGTCAAACCACTGAGTATCATGGCGCAGTCAAGTTGATGCACAGCCTGAACCATGAGGTTCATGATTTTATTGGTCAGAAATACAAGCTGACTATCTTTACTTTAGGAGTCCTGCTGTGGCGCTGTGGGTTAATGCACCAGACTGCAAAGCTGTTTGAACTGCAAGGTCAGCGGTTCAAGCTCACCAGCTGCTCCTCGGAAACCCTATACAGGGTCGCTATGGGTCGGAACCGACTCGATGGCACTTACAACAACATCTTTACTTGAAGGTGTTCTGGTAGCATAGTGGTTATGAATTGGGCTACTAATCTCAGGGTGAACAGTTCGAAACTACCAGCTAGCTGTTCCGTGGGAGAAAGATGAGGCGTTCTGCTCCCGTAAAGATTTGCAGCCTCGGAAACCCTGTACAGGGTTGCTATGAGTCGGACCCGACTCCACAGCACGTAACTACCACCACATCTTTGCTTGACCTACCACACAACTGTTTGATGGCTTACCAATGGTTAAGTTTTATTGTGAATATTTTGAACTCAGAACTGAGATTGCCTTTTTTTTTTTAAATAAGAACTGCCTTTACTTATTTACTGAATACTTTTTTAAAACAAAAGCTGGCTTCAACCACTTATTGAATACTGAATAGCTTTGGAACTAAACTTTTTTTTTTACCAACTTGATGTTTTTAAATGAATTCAAACTAAAAGCTCAGAAAGCAGCCCTCAGGTGTGAAACATACGTGGTGAAGTCAGTTAGACGATTACTAGCATTTGAAATCACAAGTAATGGCAGTGGTAGCACTTTCTGCTTTCCCATTGCTGTCAAGTTAAACTAAACTGATCTCTGCCCCCACATGAATGAGGTGGGATAGACATAGAGTTCATAAACTACAGTTCTGATTGCATTTTTCAGACCCTGATGCAAAGGTAAGATCCATACTTCAAAATCCCTTATGTAACATTCTCAAGTTTTTATTGTTAAGTGACGTAGAGTCAGTTCCATCTCGTAGCGACCCTGTATATAAGGTTTCTGAAGCTTTTTAAGTCTTCGTGGGAGCACAAAGCCTCATTTTTCTCCCATGGAGTGGCTGGTGGGCTCGAACTTCTGAAAGTTCTCTGTCAGTGTATGGTTGCAGCCGTTTTTTAATTGTCATTAGCAAAATTTTGCTAAGTTTTGTGTGGGATGTTAATGATGTTGTCCAGTGGTTTCCACATTCTGCGGGGTCACTTCTCTTTGGAATGGGCCCAAATATGGGTCTTTTCCAGTCAGTTGGCCAGGTAGCTGTCTTCCAAATTTCTTGACATAGATGAGTGAGTGCTTCCAGTACTGCATCAGTTTGCTGAAAGATTTCAATTTGTAGTCCATCAGTTTCCCGGAGCTTTGCCCTTTGTCAACGCCTTCAGTGCACCTTGGACTTCCTTCTTCAGTATCATTGGCTCTTGATCATATGCTTCCTCTTCAAATGGTTGAACATGACCATCTCTTTCTGGTACAGTGACTCTGTATCCCTCGGTCTTCTTTTGAAGCTTTCTGCATCTTTCAGTGTTTAAAGAATCCTTCAATACTGCAAGTCAAGGCCTGAGTTTTTTCTCAGTTCCCTCAGCTTGGGAAATGCCGAGCATGCTCTTTCTTCCCTTTTGGTTTTCTAACTCCAGGTCTTTGCACATTTTGTTATATTATTTGACTTTGTCTTCTAGAGCTACCTTTTGAAATTTTCTATTCAAGCTCTTTTATCTCCACATTTCTTCCATTTGCTTTAGCATCTCTACCCTGGTGGGCAAGTTTCAGAGCCTTTTCTGACATCCATTTTGGTCTTTTCCTTCTTGTCTTCTTAATGACTTTTTGCTTTCTTTGTATATGATGTTCTTGTCCATCCCACAACTCTTCTGGTCTTCGGTATTTAGTGTCTATTGCATGAAATCTGTTCTTGAGATGATCTCTAAATTCAGGATATGTTCATGCTCATATTTTGTCTCGTATAGATTTGTTTTAATTTTCTTTAGCTTCAGTCTGAACTTGCATATGAGTAGTAATTGATGGTCTGTTCCACAGTCTTCCCCTGGCCTTGTTTTGGCTGATGATTTAGAGCTTCTCAGAGAGGAAGGGACCTATACTGAAGGCTTTCTCAGAGTAATTCAGCTCACCAGGGCACCCTCCTCCAGGCTCCACCAACACTTAGATTTGGTGGTGGGTCTCCTGAGAGGTGGAGGAGAAAGAGGAGGAAGAGGCGGGGGAGGGGAGGAGGGTGAGGAGGAGGAGGGGAAGGGAAGGAGGAGGATGAACAGCACACTCAGGCCTCTTATCTTATTAGAATCCAGAAGCTAATTTTAGGTAAACCATTTTACCTGTTGTTCAACTTTTTATTTGTATCTATCTGCAAAAGAGATGACTTGTTTTAAGTTTATTACCTACCATAGAGAATAATACACAAGGGAACTATTCATTATTTAGTAATTGTTTAGAAAGGTGACTTGATATTTGTGGATCCTGTGTTCAGTAAGACAATCTGTATGGATACTCATTTCTCAGGGTAAGTACCCCAGCGTGGGATGATGGGATCTTCAGGAGATGTGCTTTAGCTATTTAAGGAACTGCTAAGCTTTTTTCCAAAGTGGTTGTACATTCCTGCATGTGTTCTATGAGCATTCTCATTCCTCTACGTTTTGCCAGCGTATGGTATGGACTACCTTCTTAATTTTATCCATTCTAATAGGCATGTAGTGGTATCTTAGAGTTTTCATTTGCAGTTCCCTCATAACTAATGATGAGTATCTTTCATTGGTTTCTTTGCCATAGATAGATAGGCAATGTCTTTAATAGACAGAGGTCTAGTCCAGTGACCTGTTGCTTTTCATTGAACATTGGTGGTTTGTGCCACTCAAGGAATTTGTCTGTGTCATATAAATTGTCAGACTTATTTATGTCACTGTTTTAATTTCTGATAGTCCTCATTTCTTCTTTATTTCCTAATCAGTCTGGCAGGAGGTGTCAATTTTAGTGATCTTGAACAAATTTTGGTTTCACTCACATTTCTTTCTTTTTCTATTTTATTGATTTCCCTTCTTAACACTTTTTTTCTGCTTACTTGGGTTTCATTTGCTTTTTATTTTTATTTTCTTAGTTTAAGGTGCAGACGAAATTCATTGATTTAAGATTTTTCTTTTCTTCAAATATGGGCAATTTTTTTTTGTTTTGTTTTGCTAAGCACTGTCGAGTCTGTTCCAACTCATAGCGAACCTGCATAGGGTTTCTGATGAGCAGCTGGTGGGTTTGAACTGCCAACTTTGTGATTTGCAGTTGAGTGCTGATCCTATAGTGCCACACCAGGAGGCATGTTAAGACTATAAATTTCCTTTAAGTATGGCTTTACCAGTATCCCACAGATTTTGATGTTGTGTATTTAGTTCAAAATACTCTGTTGTTTACCTTTTGAGTTCTTCTTTGATCAGGGGAATCACTTAGAAGCATGTTTCTTAGTATCAAAATATTGCAGGGTTTTCCAGAAATCTTCTGTTACTGATTTCTGACTTAATTCTGTTGTAGCCAAGGAACACACATGCATCATACATATTTTAATTTTATATGTACTGATAATTTCAGCCCATAGTGTTATCATCTTTATTTAAATAGTCAGTTGTATTTTAGAAACATTAAAATGCAATTACATGGAAACATTTTTTTTTCAAACTCCTGCCTCTCTCCTAGAAGGAGCTCTGGTAACGTAGAGTCGGGCTGCTAACCTCAAGGTCAGCAGTTTGAAAACTACCAGCGGTTCCGCGGGAGAAAGATGAGGCATTCTGCTCCTGTAAAGATTTGCAGCCTCAGAAAGCCTGTGCAGGGTCACTATGAGTCGAAACTGACTCCACGGCACTTAACAACAACAACCTCTCTCCTAGAGTCATGGTGTGTGTGTGACACTGTAGGGTAAGCACTGGACTGCTAAGTACTAGGTTGGCAGTTCAGACTCACTAGCTGCTTCTCAAAAACCCTATACATGGGCACTGTGCATCGGAATTAACTAGGTGACACTAAAAGCAACAAGAGTCTCTTCTCCTTCAGGGACTTTATGTACGTGTAGCATTGGCCACTGGACGCTGTCCCTCTGTTCACTGTTCTCTTTTTTTTAAAAATGCTTAAATTTTGGTCTTTTTGTGTGTGTTTAATGTGAATAATTTTTATTGCTGTGCTTTTCATGATCACTGATCTTTTCTTCTGAAATGTTTAATCTGCCAGCAATCCCATTTGTATGTTTGAAATCTCTAATATTTTCGTTTTCCTCTCTAGAGTTTGATCTGGGTTATTCCCTAACACTTTGAACATATGGAATAGTGTTGTAGTTGTTTCAATGCCTGTTTGTGTTAATTTTCACACCTTGTTTATTCTGGGTCTTTGTTTTGTTTTGTTTTTTTGTTGGTATTGAATGAATATTTACAGAACAAATCATCAGTTTTTACATTGATTGCATTCTCTTCAGTGTAACCTCATTTATCCCACTTCCTCTATGTGTTTCTTGTTCTTATTTTCCATCTTTCCCAACCTTTTGGTCTCAAATGGTTGACCCTCCTATAGTGTGTGTACCCTCACTAGTGTTGTTGTCAAGTGCCATGGAGTTGGTTCTGACTCATAGTGACCCTGTGTGGGATTTCTGAGGAACAGCTGGTGAGTTTGAACTGCCTACCCTGTTCAAATAGTGTTGTTATCCCCCCCACCCCAATCTATCTGGAGTACTAGTAGTGCTATGGGATAAAGCACTGGACTTCAGGGTTGGTGGTTCAAACTCAACCAGTCACTCCTTGGAAATCCTGTCCAGGGTCGCTATGAGTTGGTCCTCACTCTACAGTACTTAACAGCAACAACAAAAATTTCTGTCTACTGCTTGGCTGGAAATTGAGCCTGGCAGTGAGTTTGTTTCCAGACCTGAAGGGTGAGCACGGGCCACAGCCTTGGGTTCCACCAGTCTCTGTCTGGTCAGTAAGCCTGGTCTTTCGGGATCCTTTTTGATTGGTTGCTTTTCCCCCGCCTCATTGTCGTGTATTTCTGACTCTTTGCTTCTTTAATTGAACCCAACATATTGAGAATTTTGCTTTGTAGTGTGCCGAATACTTTTTAGTCTTTAGTTCTTGAGCTTTGTTCTGGGATACAGTTAAGTTACTTGGATACACTTTGGTCCATTCATATCTTGCTTTTATACTTTGTTTGGCAGACTTGGAGCAGTGCTCAGTCATGGATTAATTATTTCCCAATACTGAGGCAATGCCTCTCTAGGATTACCACAGCTATACCTGAGGACTAGCTTCCTGAGTATTCTGCCAAATGCCTCAGGAGTGTCTGAGTTTCATCAGCTGTGCTGGTGGGAGCATCATATGCTGTTCCCGTTTGTATTCTTCCTTCCACCTGGGGAAGTTTCCTCCCATTCATGGGCCTGACGGGACTCTTGGGTTTCTGTCTCTGTGCAGCTGTCTTCTCTCTGATGCTCGGTTTCATGAATTCTAATAGTATACCTTAGAGAGAGAAATCTCTAATTCAGATATGGGAGGAGCACAGGAAGTAGAGCCATCTATGTTTTCTTTCACTTATTCAACAAATTCGTTTGCTGGGGGCAGCGGGGAGAATGAATGTGTATGTTTGTGTGTGTTTAAAATACTGCGATTGCTGTCTATAGACTAAGTAGTAGTTGTCATAGAGATTGTTTGCAATATTGTGTGGGTGGGAAGAGAAAGATGACCTTAATGACAGTGGTGTAGTTACATTAACATACTGTTTTTAAGGGTGATCATTTATTATCCAGCTTTATAAACTATTTAAAGATAAGACTGTTGGTGATCCCGTAAGTGGTAAATGTCATTGGCAGCATATAACATTTCATTATTGTTGTGGTTAAGTGCTGTTAAGTAGGTTCCAACTGACAGCGACCCTGTATAAGGTTTCCAAGGAGCAGCTGGTGGGTTTGACCCACTCACCTTGAGGTCCAATCCTTATCCTATAGCATCATACCAGGACTGGTTACAGGTGAAGTCTTAGACTATTTAGTAAAGAGGATTGATACAGATATCAAAGTAGTAAATCAAGCTGTTTTCTGTAATTTCATCTAGTATGCTATATATGTGAAACTTCTAACTGCTGGTACAAAATGATACGATATTCAATCTGACATTATAATCATCTAGCATTTGTTAAAATTCTGATTATGTTATCAGCATCTGATACTCTGAAATGTTCAACTTTTAACCTGAGTGAGTGCTATTCAGGACAGCTTTTGTAATATAATGTTATTGGTCTAAGACTAGGCCCTGTGATATCACTTGTGTAGCTCATCTAAGGGAACCGTGGAGCTTCCAACTAGTAGACAGCACCAATTTGTATGGGGCAGTGCTGTCTGTGGAGCTGTGAGGATTAATTTGAAGCTATTTTCCTCCGTATTCTGCATTCTTTGTTCTCCATATTTTAAGAACATAAAGTTGCACATGAGGAATTACAAAGGTGGTCTTATCTAAAGAATCTTTGTTGTTGTTATGTGCTGTGGAGTCGTAGTGACCCTCCATAGGGTTTTCGAGGCTGTAAATCTTTACGGGAGCAGAAAGCCTCATCTTTCTCTGGTGAAACACTCCAATATGTTGAACAATAATATATGGCTACATTATAAAATAATGATTTTTATAGATCAAAACAACAAACAAAACCTCCTGGCTACGAAAACCAATTTATATTCCTAAAATATATTGTTAATTTAGAAAAAAAGAGCTAGCTAGCTGATGTTCAAATTTTGGAAACTTGAGGTTTGCTCTGTTTTCCTTAACATATTTTATGGTAAATTAGAATCTAGTTAGTTGGTTTTGAATATAAAATATGATATTCTGAAGTTATACATCATAAACTCTGAGTAGAGTCAAGCATTTTATCATACTGTTACTATTCAGAGATGACCTGGTGGTGCAGTGGGTAAAATATTAGGCTAATAACCAAAAGGTTGGTGGTTTGAATCCAGCAGTGGGAGACAGATGAGGTAGTGTTCTTCTGTAAAGATTTCGCAGACTCGGAACCCCAGAGATCAGTTCTGCCCCACCCTACAGGGTCACCGGGAGTTAGAATCCCCTCCATGGTGCTGCCTTACGATTTGGTGGCACAATTTTTTTTAACACCATGAAATAATTATAGCCGAGCTCAGAAAGGGTTTATTTTCTAAATATTGAAGAATAATCATGACTGTGTTTTTGAAAAATATAACTATTTCTGATTTTTATAGTATTAGACTATTAACTTTATGACATGCTTATGAAATATTTTTGCATCTATAGAAACTCTATTAAAACAGAGGTCAGTTTTATTTGCATTATTAGACCAGAGTTCTCCAAAGGAGGATTCTTAGAGTAGACTTTTTTCAACATAAGAATATGCATGATTAAAATTCCCTATTAGAGTTAATAATACCCTTTTTTTTGAGTTCATGGTTAATACCATTTCTCTTTTTCAGACGGCAAATGGCTACATCCTGTTTTTTCACATTGTGTCTACAAGAGGTGACAAGTACCTTTATGAACCTGTGTATCCCAAGTAAGTTTGTTGTCTTTCATACTTTTAATGTTAGCATACTTTACATTCAGAAAAACATAGTTTTGGATTGTCTGAAGTGATTAAAATAAGGCTGTCCCAGCATTCCCAAATTTACCAAGCCTTTGGCCTTTGTAGTTATTTATTGAATAAAGAGTAAAGAATTCTCTAATAAATATGTCTTTGACTCTTGGATGAATATGCTATATTCATTTGAGGACATATTTCAGGTTCTGGAGTTTCCCAGTCTTGATTTAGGGAGGAACTAAGGGACTCTGAGGGGCAGTGGTGAAATCCTAAGAACCTATAGGTTCTGTTGCACAGGTGTTCTTGTGTTTGTATAGGAACGACATGTACCCAAACAGTGATTTCCTCTTTTGATCAGAATTTGGGAAACAAGGACCTTTGCTCTTTGAACCTGATATATTTCTTTATTATTTTGCCTTGCTTTTTTCCCTTTCTTTCTAGCATGCTTTACATTTGAAATAAAAGAATAGCAGTAAAGCTTTAAAGCATTTTTTTTTTTTTTTTTAAAGGGCGAGCTATTAAAATGGGATGAAAATGTAAATGAATATAACGTTCTGTTGTTGTTGTTGTTAGGTGCCATCAAGTCAGTACCGACTCATAGTGACCCGATGCACAACAGACCGAGGCACTGCCCGGTCCTGGGCCAACCGCACAATTGCTGCCATGCTTGAACTCATTGATGCTGCTGCTTTGCCAGTCCATCTCGCTCGGGGGCTTCCTCTTTTTCTCTGACCCTCCACCTTACGAAACATGATATCCTTCTCCAGGAACTGGTCCCTTCTGACAATATGTCCGAAGTCTGAGAGATGAAGTTTGGCCATTCTGGCCTCCAAGGAGCACTCTGGCTGCACTTCTTCCAACACAGATCTGTTGGTTCTTTTGGCAGTCTAGGGCACTTTCAATATTCTCCTCCAAAACCATAACTCAAAAGCATCAATTCTTCTGTGGTCTTCCTTATACACTGTCCAGCTTTCGCATCCATATGAGGTTATTGAAAATAACATTTCTAGATGGTGGAAAATGGTCAAGGTTTATATGTAGAAAATTAAAGTGAAAAATAGATTTCATTGTATGAAAAGTTAAATTTTTGGAAAATAATGGGAGAAAAGTTTTTGAAAAATAGGGAGGAGGAGGCTGTTTATTTTTTTATAAAGACCTATCAATCCCTATGGCTCAAACATGATAGACAAGACAGACCTGTGAGGTGATAGGCTTCAATCAACACTCATGGAGCAGGAGCAAAGAAATCCAATGACATATTGCATTAGGCAAATCTGCTGCACAAGACCTCTGTAAAGTGTTCTAGAGCAAAGATGTACCTGACCCAAGGCATGTTATTTTCAGTAGCCTCATATGCCTGTGAAAGTTAGACAATGAGTAAGAAAACTATAGAAGAATTGATACATTTGAATTGTGGTGTTGACGAATATTGACGGAATCCTGGACATTCAGAACAACAAGTAGATCGGTGTTGGAAGAAGTACACCCAGAGTGCGCCTTAGAGAAACACTCATCGTTCATACTTCAGGCATGTTTTCAGGAGGGACCAGTTCCTGGAGAAGAACATCATGCTTGGTAAAGTAGAGGGTCAGTGGAAAAGAGGAAGGCCCCAGTGAGATGGACTGGCACAATGGCAGTGGCAGTGGGCTCGAGCGTAACAATAATTGAGAGGATGGCTCAGGACTGGGCAGTGTTTCATTGTTTGTATGGAGTTGCTGTGAGTAGGAACTAACAAACACAGCATAAAGTGAACAGTAATACCAGGGAGGCAGGCACTTCTTCAGACAACCAGGCGTAAAGCTCAGAAGACAGGAATCGATAGGAAAGAAGGATGAATGGAAATGATCGACAGGGGATGGCAGAGGGAAGAAATGCATGAATGGTCACATGGAAAGCTTTCATGCAAATCACAATGAAAAGTTTTATAAATTTCTAAGAATCATTTGTGAAGCATCCAGTTGATATGAAGTGAGGGGAGATGCACAAGAATGCCCACACTTGCAGATAGTACCCACTTGACCTGGCTTCGATGGCTGGATGATCAGAACTCAACTAGAAGTGAAAGAAGAGGGGGGAAAAAAAAGAGTAACCTGCTACAGTTTGATGAACTTTACCTATACTTATGGATGTAATGCACCAGACTGCAAAGCCGTTTGAACTGCAAGGTTGGTGGTTCAAGCTCATCAGATGCTCCTTGGAAACCCTATACAGGGTCACTATAGGTTGGAAATGACTCAACGGCACTTAACAACAACAACATGGATGTAGTAGCGAAAAAAATAGAACAAATCTTTGCAGCAAGGATCACTCCCACCCTCTCAGTACACAAGGTTGACAGGGATGGGCAACTTAGACAGTGGCTGCCTCAAATGGGGGGCCTATAAAGGCAAGAAGTGACTGGCTTACAAGCTGTCAAGGGGGAGCCTAGTTCCAGGCGGGGCGGGGGAAGGTAGACTCTCCACTGAATGATTTCCAATCTGTTGGGACAGGGCTGGTGAAAGGAAATGGGGATAAGACTCTTGTGGTACAACAGTGAATAATTGCCATCAGGACTGACTGGGAGGGTAGAAATTCTAGAGGTAGATGGTTTTTGACAGCAGGAGGAGAGTGATAGATTTTGCAGCCCAGGAGCGGAGGTCCCTGGGTCCATCAAGTGAGAAGAGAGGAGAGCAGGACCCTACTCAGAGAGGCAGAAACGCCAGGGGTGGAGACAGAGACGATGATGTGAAAGATGAAGCGGCTGGGGACACTGAACTTAGGGAGGGAGAGGGGCTGTGTGCTGATAGGCAGTGGGGGGGGGGGGGTGGGCATGTGGGGTGTACTCTTTGGTTATTTGATGATGCATGAGGGGATTGAAATCATTGCAATGAAACGAAATACGATAGGATGAATGTAAAACTGATATTCTTCCATGTAAACCTCACAATAAAAACTTACTTAAAAAAAAAAAAAAGGCATCACAGACAAGGGAAGTCTTCCTGTTATTGTTAAGTGCTGTCAAGTCGGTTCCAACTCATAGTGACCCTGTACAGGGTTTCCAATGAACAGCTGGTGAGTTTGAACCACTGACCCTGTGGTTCAAATCGACTTTGTGGTCCTGTGCTTATCCTGTAAATGGACCCTGTATTTTATCCCATGTTCTGCTTCAAAACTGTCCCTATCATTTTGTTATTACTTGAGCTAAATAAAGTGTTTCCTTTAAAAAAAGAGAAAGAGCCAGTATTTCCCTACACTGGAACTATGACAATTGTTTAAGTTACCTTTTTAATTTTCTTCAGAATACACTTTGGGAAAAGCTAACCTAAGTTGGATGAAAAATAGCTCACATTTCTTTAGCATAGATTCTAAAGAATGATCTCAGCTGTTTTTGATTCTGCAGCCAGTGTTCTTGTAATACAGACAGTGTTAACAGAAGTGGTAGTTGAATTTTGGAACTCTTTCGTAAGGTCAGAAATTCTTTGATGATGGCATTTACTTTAACTTAGTTTTCAATAAAATCTGTAGTGTAAAATGTAATACAGCATGTATCTGTGATGGGAAGTTGATGTATTTGGAAATGGTAACTTCATTCTTGTGAGTGTTATAAATCCTGCCGTCTTTCCTTGTGCAGGATGCAGTTTGTGAACCTTTTGAGGGACTGTTGCAGGCATTGTCTCACATTTCATTCACCTGTGCATTTTGAACTATCACCTACACCTACTTTTTATTGCTTGTTACTATACATAAAAAGCAGTCATCAGACTCAACTGAATTTAACTTAATTCATCCTTAGTAGTATGAGTGGACAAAGCAGGAAAATAGCTTTTCTTGAAACAGAAAATTATTCTGCTTTGTTTGCCCTTACAAGCCTGCTTTATGTAAGAGTGCTATGCTTCTGAGATGGAATCTGAGAAGTTTTTAAAACCATTTCCTACCTCTGGTCATGACATTCCAAGGTCACTTGTTACATAACCCAGTCATCCGGGCAGTGCATGGGCTTTGCCATGTTTGACTATGAATAATGTTAGACTAGAGAATGAAATAAAAAAGTGTGAGACTGTTTTTCCATTTGTGGATTCCTCGCTGTACGGAAGATTTTTAGTCCCAATACCAAGAACACATGCATCCCTTTAGAACAGTCTTAGTAGGGTTAAGGGGACAGGATTGGAGGTCAGACCTGGAAGAGACTGTCACCTTTGCCAGTTTTCTGCTGTATGACTTACTTCCGTCCTGTAATTTAATACCTCTAGAATTCAGTGTCTTCCTCTGTAGAATGAGAGTAATAATGACCTCATAGGATTAAATGAGGTCACTCATGTTAGATCCTTAGGTAAGAGCCTTGGTATTGTTGTTAAGTGCCATTGATTCAGTTCTAACTCGTAGCATAGCAACGGTGAAGGGTTTCTGAGGCGTGACTGTGGATAAGAACCGCAACCTTTCAGTTAGCAGTCCAGTGCTTACCCTACAGCATCGCACCAGAACTCCAGATAAGTGCCTAGATCACGAAAAAATAATAATAATAATAATCAAAACCCACCTGTGTGATTTACTATTATTGTCAGGTGCCCTGAGTTTGATTTCTATCCATAGAGACCCCATGAGGCAGAATACAGTTGCCCCAGAGGGCTTTCTAGGTTGCAGTCTTTGTGAAAGCAGATTGTTTTGGCCTTACTTCCAGAGCCACTGGGTGGGTTCGAACCACAAACCTCACTCAGTTGGTAACTCAGTGCTCAACTCTTGTGATACCAGGACTCCTAATGATTGATTACTAATGTAGTTTTCCTTCACCACACTTTAGTTCTATTTTTAATATTTTCAGCAATTTTTTTTGTATACAGATTGTTGTTGTCAAGTGCCGTCAAGTTGGTTCCGATCCATAGTGACCCTGTATAGGGTTTCCGAGGAGTAACTGGTGAGTTTGACCCACTAACCTTGTAGTTCAAACTGACCTTGTGGTTGAACGTTTATCCTACAATGCCACACCAGGAATCCATATA